CTTAGCTCAGAGTGATCCTTATAACGAGGTCCCTGCCATTTCCAGCTGTGGCAGGAGCTTGGTCATGCCTCTCTCCCATCGGATCTTAGCATCACTAACTTTTGGAGAACATACGCAGAGGAGTTTTAGAGATAAAGAATTGTTAGGGAAAGGCCCCCTTTTCCATTACACGGATACTGTTCAGGTTCAGAGGTGAAGCGGAGATGGTTGCAGGCACCTGGAAAGCCTCTGACTGCATCTCAGCTAAGTCGGTGTCTCTCAGATTTGTGTGTGGGTCACACACCAGAGAGATCATTCGGGGATCAGGCAATGGCCACTCCCATCACTGATTTACCACGGGCCCCTTCTTGGCGTGTAGGTCCCAGGGATTGTGTCTTGTGTGTAGAATTCTCTCAAGCTCTCACAGTTTTTGAACCTACCAAGGCTGATATAAACTTGTTTTTGTCACCTGAGACTTGGTTCAAAAAGAAGAAAGTGGCAAAGGAGAGTTCTCGTGGGCGACGGTGCCCGTAGAGACAGGCCACAGTGGGCAACTCCTAAGGCCGGTGGAATGCCTTTGTTGTGTAATGAGGACACCGTAATACCTCATTCAGAACATCCAGGGACAGAAGGGCCCCCTAGGATCAGAATGGCCTTCAAGGGAAGACAGAGAATCCTCATTATTTTAGAAGCTCAGTTCTCCAGAATAATGGAAGTGGCAGTTGTAAATGAGAATAATTGTCAAATGGGAACATGAGCTACCAATCTATTGGCAGTAACGTGGACATTTATCAGGCAACCCTTCGGTTTCAGTAACGTGACTTAGGGTGGGTTGGTAGAGCAATTGGCATAAACAAGGACAGGACATTGTGTCTGTGCACTCTCTGCAGACTCCGATAACACCAGTCAAAATCCATCACCCCCACGCCTGCTCTGAATTCCACAGTTCTCCCAGCACATTCTAAAACTTGCCAGATTGGCCCAGCAGGCGTGGCTCAGTGGGTAAGCGTGGACCTATGAACCAGGAGGTCATGGTTCGGTTACTGTTGAAGTATAAACCCAGATTGGGAACTCAATCCCCACTGTGGGGCATGCAGGAGGCAGCCAATCAATGATTCTCTTTAAAAAATATATATATTTTATTGATTTTTTTACAGAGAGGAAGGGAGAGGGATAGAGAGTTAGAAACATCGATGAGAGAGAAACATTGATCAGCTGCCTCCTTCACACCCCCTACTGGGGATGTGCCTACAACCCAGGTACATGCCCTTGACCAGAATCGAACCTGGGACCCTTCAGTCCCCAGGCCAACGCTCTATCCAGTGAGCCAAGCCAGCTAGGGCCAATCAATGATTCTTCGTCATCATTGAGCACTCTCTCTTTCTCTCTCTCTCTCTCTCTCTCTCTCTCTCTCTCTCTCTCTCTCTCTCCCTCTCTGAAATCAATAATGTATATATTTAAAACTTGCCACATTGTATGTTAGTTTGCTGGACACACATCTGTCTTGCCCACAAAAGTCTGAGCTTCTATACCTGGAGCAAGAAGGTGAGCCATTTTGTTCATTTCCCCTCAACGTGTCCTTCTCAAATGGACAAGTGCAACACAGTGAAACACCACTGGCCCCAGAAGGCAAAAGGGCTGGTTAGTTCTCGCTGGGGAAGTGTGCCATCTTTGAATCTCAGATGCACCTCTGTTCAGTGGTCAAGAGTTCTCAAACATTACTGCATAAGTTGTTTTAAAAATCAGAATTCTTAGTTTAAGAGTTCCCATAAAGCAAGTGTTAGAGTGTAGTCCAGGCGAGTTTGGGTCAGTGGATAGAGTATAGACAGTCGGCCCTTGAACTGAAGGGTTGCCAGTTTGATTGTGGTCAAGGACACATACTTCGGTTGCAGGCTCAATCCCCATGCAGGAGGCAACCAATCCATGTGTCTCTCTCTCTCTACCTCTCCCTCCCCTTCCACTCTCACTAAAAATCAATGGAAAAATATGCTCAGGATGATTAACAACAACAAAGCAGTGTTAGTGTGGCGCTCAGAGCACGGATTTGTAGAAAATTCTATGTCAGTACAATCCACTTTACTCTGGAAACATTGATTTGGATTAACTCCAAGGCTACTTCTAGCTCGGACATTTCAGAATTCTAGGTATTCTTATACATCTGAGTGTGAATCTGATATTTAATTGTTGTGGTTGAAACACTGACACGGTGAGTGTGTGGGGGGGTGTATGCATGTGTTCACGCATACACACATGTGAAACATGAGAAGGTGGAAATATTCCTTATTCCTTGTAATGTCCAATCCCAGAATCCTAAGTAAACCTTACAGTGAGGACAGTGGCAGAGGATGAACTAGTTTAACAGAGCGATCAGCAGTGGGGGCTGAAGCTGCTGAGCTAGAACAATGTCAGTGAGGACAGAGGGGGAGGGGAACATTACCACCCGATTTGCGAATATTGATGAACCACTTTCGTATATTTATTTATTGAGTGAATTGTGTGATTTAGGAGGGAATGTGAACATCCTTGAGTAAGCCATTTTAACCCGTGTCTGAGTAAATGACAACACTATTTACTAAAACCTGAAATGTTAAATGGAGATCGTTTGAGAAAGAAAGTGGTGGATTGCAATGAAGGCCCCTAATAAGCTTCAACAGGAAGTTAGAGTTAGAAGAGAGTGTGGAATTTTTATTTTTATTGTGGAATTTTCCAGGTGGTGATTAACAACAGCAACAACAAAAAAAGCAGTGTTAGCGTGGTGCTCAGAGCACGGATTTGTAGAAAATTCTATATCAGTACAATCCACTTGGTTCTGGAAACATTGATTTGGATTAACTCCAAGGCTACTTCTAGCTCGGACGTTTCAGAGTTCTAGGTATTTTTCAGGTGCACAAAAGCACGCTGCGTGTTTGAAACAGAGGGCATTTCATGCAGGGAACTGGTCACATGGTCACTGGAAGGCTGGAAGGACACAGAGTTTAACAAGCATCAACACAGTCCCCACTCTAGGCCTGGGGAGAGAATGGGAAACGCCTCTTGGAGGCTGGCGTTCAAGGTGCTGCAGGTGTTGGGTGCAGCTGGGCTGCTCCTGTGAGCCTGGGGCACCATGCAGGGTGCTCAGTCCTTGGAGCCGGGGGCTCAGACCTCAGAGCTGGGGGCATCCCGTGAGCGATGCTTAAAATTCTAGGGAAAGGCGCTCGGTGACCAGAGCCCAGACAAAGGAGTTGAGGCACCTGCGGCCAGCATTCAGCCTTCAGAGGAGACCTGGACCAGGAGGGCAGGGGTGGAGAGCCAGGTGCACAGCAAAGCAGGGCCCAGCTTGGCAGGCCTCATATTGCCCAGAGAGTAGAGTGGGTGCTGCCTGTCCCTTTGAGGGTCCTGGGGGGTTCACTGAGAATGATAGGGAGCAGGAGCCTGGAGCCAACCCCTACTGCCCTGGGAGCACAGCCCACCAGAACCGGAAATAGAAACAGCTGCCCAGCCCTGGCTGCTTGGCTAAATGGATAGAGTGCTGGCCTGCAGACTGAAGGGTCCCAGGTTTAATTCTGCTCAAGGGCACATGCCTAGGTTGCCAGCTCAATCCCCAATGTGGGGGTGAAGGAGGCAGCCAATCCATGATTCTCTCTCATCATTGATGTTTCTCTCCCCGTCTCCCTTCCTCTCTCTGAAATCCTATATAATAAAAGGCTAATATGCAAATTTTCCCCACAGGCGGGAGTTCTACTGACCAGGAGTTAGACATGCGCTAACCACTAGGGGGCGGTGCAGCACATGGCAGGTGTTGGCAACTCGGAGCTGCCAGCGGGCAGCAGTGGACGCACTACCGGCCCTGATGGGCCCTGACAAGAGTGGGACCATGGCAGGATGGCTGCACCAGGCCCCACTGGTCGCCCCACAGATCAGCCCAATCTCCAGCCAGGCCTAGGGACCCTATGTGTGCACGAATTTCATGCACCAGTCCTCTAACATATATATATAAAACAGCCGCCCCCAAGACTGCGAATGCCTGGCCTGCAGGGGGCTGCGGGCACTAGCAGGCCAGGGGAGGAGTCTGGCAGAGGCAGGTGGGAGGCTGCACAACACACCGCGTGGGGTAGGAAGGGGCTTGGAGCCAGAGAAGTGGGGAGTTGGGTCACTGGGTGAGACTGAAGAAATGGGAGTGGGAGAGGGCACAAAGGAGTCTGAGGAGTGATGAGGAAGATGAGAAATGAAGAGGAGGAAGAGAAATATCCAGAAGACCGTCCTCGAGGCAAAGGGAGGGAAATGACGGCGATGGATGACACCGTAACGAGGTTCAGAAACAGCCAGAGGTGAGCACTGCCACAGGTCAGGGCTGGCCCTGGGATCGCTACTAAGAGATCAGGACTGAGAGCTCGGTGGGCTGGGATTGAGAGGCTCTCACCACAGGGGCCAGAATGGAGGTGCTGTCCGTCTGTAGGCAGGTGAGTGGTGACAGGGCCCATTTCCTTGTGAAAGGTGACACTCTAGGTCAGACGAGGACTGGAAGGGATGCTGGCCTTTGCTGCTGAGGAAAGAGAGGAGGAGGAGGAATGCCTGACAGCGCGAGGCTGAGGCCGCCAAGCCGTGTCCAGCAGGTGGTCCACTCACCAGGCAGTTCAGTCTCCTCAGTTACAGGTGCCAGAATCTTGGAATAGAAGGCCAAGCTCACACACATGTTTGAAGCTGGGACTGTCACTCCAACTCAGTTCATGTGGGTCTCAGTCCAACATTTCCAATTTACCTATTTAGTCTATTAATTCACTGGCTCACCCAATCAATCAATCAATCAATCAATCAAATAATCCCTAGGCCCCATACCAGGAACTGTGGGTGCACAGGTGAGCTGGGTGCAGGGTCATCCCTCCAGAAGCTCACAGTCTAGAAACGGTATTTCTGCAGCATCAGACACTCAACAGACTGCGTCAGAGAATCCAAAATGTCCAAAGATCCTGAGAGCATCAGGCACTGAGCTCACAGATGCCAGTGTCTCCACCGTTTTCATTGCTGTAGCTGCTGCTTAGTGTTTAATTCCTTTTTCTCCTTTTGCAGCAAAATGGAGTTAGTTCAGCTCTACAGCCTCCAATCTTATCTTCAAAGGAAAGGCATTCGATCTCACAGCGACCAGACATCTTTGCACAACGGATATGCCTTCGAGGTCCTCCCCTGGCTGTGAAGGAAGAAATTAGTCTTCAGTTCCCCAGTAATTAATTCCTGGGAGACAAACTTACATCACCCAGGCCAAGTGCAGAATTCCCCATCAGGAACCTCCTGGAGACAGAGCATAAGTCTGCGACAAGCCATGTCACCAGAGAGCTGTGTCTGAGCTCAGGTCCCTGGTAGTCAGTGCAGAGACCTGACTTGATATTCATTTAGGAAAACCAACCAACAAACAAAGAATTCCCTCTGTCCTAATCATGTCTAGGAAATAAGCAACAGAATTTTTGTTCCTGGGCGGGAAACAATATACTTTCTAGTTTCAATAAATAGTTCTTTCCAATAAATGACTTTTTCATGTCTCCACATTAATAGTCTCTGATATGTAGCAAACAGTGAAGACTGTGCTATTTACATTACAGGCAGGGAGGCACAGGGTTGTGGGGTTCAAGCACAAAAGGGTCGTGGTAGTAGCCTGCTCTGTAAAGAGGGCAGCAGAATAGCGTCTGTAGCCCAGCAAGCACGTTTAGAACAACATGCGCAACGTGTGTTCATTCAGAATGGAGAGACGAAGCTGAAGAGAATGAAAATATTTCCAGAGAGGAGTGACGGGGGCAGGGGGCAATGTGTTCTCAGGAGAAAGAGCCGACAACACTGGCAGTCCCTCCAAAGGAGTCCAGCTTCTTCTTGGAAAGAGCAGCTCTGGGAGGAAAAGGTGCGTTTTACCTGTTACATAAACGAGACATTAGGCTGGTTCACGTCCAAGTGAGGGCTCAAACCGACAGGAAGAAACGGCAAAGACTTAGATTTCGGCTCAAAGGGGAAATGTGTGAACAGTCCAAAGTTGAACTGGGGATGCTGGGAGTTACAGATCACTGAAGTCTGTCAGGCATCTGACCGCCAGACCCTGAGCCACGGATGGACAGCTGCTGGTTAGCGCCACCAAGAAGCCTGTTCGCCTGCCTCCTTGGGCTTCTATTGTCCCAACAGCTTGAACTAAAATTAATCTCTAGATACATCCAACAGGTAAGCATCCTTGAGAAAGTATATACTTCTCCAAGGTCAGGTCTTTAAAGACGACACAGAGATTCTAGCAAAACACCCCGAATCGGACTTGTTTGGAAAAGTCAAGGTAGGGGCTGCTGCCTTAGGCAGGGTCCCCCTAGAGCAGCGGTTCTCAACCTGTGGGTCGCGACCCTTTGGGGGTCGAATGACCCTTTCACAGGGGTCGCCTAAGACCATTGGAAAACATGTATAATTACATATTGTTTTGTGATTAATCACTATGCTTTAATTATTTTCAATTTGTAACAATGAAAATACATCCTGCAAATCAGATATTTACATGACGATTCATAACAGCAGCAACATTACAGTTATTTTTTTAAATTACAGTTATGAAGTAGCAACGAGAATAATTTTATGGTTGGAGGGCACCACAACATGAGGAGCTGTATTAAAGGGCCGCGGCATGAGGAAGGTTGAGCACCGCTGCCCTACAGGCCACTGACCTTTCGGAAATTCTTCTTACAGACATTCCAACCATGTCCCGGCTTCCCCACATCGGCCAACATGAAACATGCATAGCGTGCTTACATAGTGAATTGGGGAAGATAATTAGAATAATAATGACAAGCACAATGGAAAAAGGCAATAATAACAGGTAACCCTGTCGGAGCACGGAGTGTGCCTGGCACCGTGAGAGCCTTTGACAGAAACACGGAGGCTGTGACACTGTTCCCAGGCAGGTATCTTCCTTTCAGACTTTCAGTACGAGGACCCCTGGGTTTTAGCTGGACACGTGGACACTGAGCTAAAGACATCAGTTCCTGTGTGGATCAATGATACAGAAGTGAACAGATGTTTCTAGGTCGTCTTTTTCATCGTGTTCTTGACTTACCTCTAGCTTTTCCTGTTAGAGCATCTTTATTTATTTTTATTTTTAAATTTTATTTTATTGTTTAAAGTATTACACATAGTAGTACATATATCTCCTTTTTTCCCATTGATCTTCCCCCAGCCTCTCCTACCCCCTGTCACATGCCCTCATCCCACCCCTACCCCCCGCAGTGTCTTGTGTCCATTGGCTGTGCTTATATGCATGCATACAAGTCCTTTGGTTGATCTCTTTCCCCGCCTTCCCAACACTCCCGGCCTTCCCGCTGTAATTTGACAGTCTGATCAATGCTGCTCTGCCTCTGTTAATGTTCTTTTATCCATAAATGAGTGAGATCATGTGGTATTTTTCTTTCATTGCCTGGCTTATTTCACTTAGCATAATGCTTTCCAGTTCCATCCATGCTGCTGCAAATGGTAAGAATTCCTTCTTTTTTTTAGCAGCATAGTATTCCATTGTGTAGATGTATCATAGTTTTCTAATCCACTCATCTGCTAATGGGCACTTAGGATGTTTCCCAATCTTAGCTGTGGTGAATTGTGTGTGAATGGGCAATTTTCATTTTTT